GAGTTGGAGTCTCACTCTGTCACCCAGGCTGGAGTGCAGTGGCATACTCATGACCACCCCTGCATCGACCTGCTGGGCTTCCACCTTAGCCTTCCAAGTAACTGGAACTGCAGACACACACTACTATACCTGGCTAATTTTTTGAGTTATTGTAGAGATGAGGTCTTGTCAAGTTGCCCAGGCTGGTCTTGAACCCCTGGGCTCAGGCAATCCCTTCACCTCGACCTCCCAAAGTGCTGTGATTACAGGCTTGAGCCACCACACCTGGCCTAGAGTTTGCCTTTTTATATCGCCTATTGAGGATCATTAGTTGTCGGTCATATCTCTAGCTGCATCTATATCCACCTTTGCTTTTTAGCTTTAGTCTGTCTCAGACAGTCTGTTTCTCTCTTCCACAGAAACATTTGATTGAATTCTGCTACACTGTAGCCCAGAAATACTTGTTTGAAGGAAAACATGAAGACGCTGTCCCCGCAGCTTTGCATTCCCTTCGCTTCCGCATGAACGTGCATGGCCTGGATTCAGTTGAGCTTGTGCCTGCTTACCTGCTGTTGGCTGAGGCCAGCCTTGGTGAGTGAAACTGATTTAAGACCTCCTGGAGCCCTTAGGAAGTGCTGTGTTGGGACATACCAATGACCAAAGGGGCCAGCCTGGACAATGGCACCACGGCCCCTTTGTGAAAGAGCAGGGTTGCTATAAAGTTTGGCACAATGTGGGGAAGGAGCTGTCACAGGCTTTAGGCTACAATGGACAGAAATCCACTTAAGCTGGTCTGCACAAAAGGATGAACTTTATTAGGCTGCTGGAGTATCCTAAGGGAGTTGAGGCTTCATGAGGGACTAGAACTCGAATGCTGTACGGAACCATGGCTGGTGGTCTCAGTTTCTCTCTCTTGGGCCTTGTCTCTTATCTGTGCTTCTCTCTGTGTATCTGCTTCATTTTCCTTTTCTGTAGATCAGATTTTTTTACCCTGTGTTCACTGCAGAAGAAAAGCTACCCCCAAAATGTAGCTCTTGAATTTATATGTCTTCTAGGTTCAAGGTGGATAATAGAAACTAATTAGCATCTGATTTCAATTTCTAGAAGACAGAATTCTGTTGACCCAGCTTGAATGTGGTGTCTACCTTTGCTCCCTGGGATCACAGTCCCATAGTTCAGAGATCTAGGAACCTACCCCTGGAGATGGAAGAGGCAATTCTGAGAATGGAGAGCATAGACTTAGCAGACACCCCACATGGTGACTACTACAAAAAGAAAATTAGCATTTTGAGACGAATTAACATTCTTGGGCATCTACAGTGTTTTAGGCACCATATTGCCACTTTATACATCTTAATAGCCATTAAAAAAATTTTTTTTTAACTCTGACAAGTACACATAAAGGACTTTTTTCCCTCTGAACCCTCTAAGAGTAAGTTGCTTACCTGATGTCCTGGCCCTAGAATACTGTCACCTCCTGTGAGTTCTACGGTTTTTTCAATAACATGTTTACAGCAAAAGAATACTGTTCAGAATCACGCTTTTCATTTTGTTGTCATGCGTTTTTAGTCTTTGTTGTGAAACAGTTTCTCTATCTTTCCTTGACTTTTTTTTTTTTTTTTTTGAGTTGGGGTCTCACTCTGTCACCCAGGCTGGAGTGCAGTGACACAATCATGGCTCACTGCTGTTTCAACCTCCTGGGCTCAGGTGATCCTTCCACCTCAGCCTTCTGGGTAGCTGGGACTACAGGTGTCACTACCATGCCTGGCTGATTTTAATTTTTTGATTTTTTGTAGAGGCGAGGTCTTGCTGTGTTGTCTAGGCTGGTTTCGAATTTCTGGGCTCAAGCAATCCTCCCACCTCGGCTTCCCAAAATGCTTGGATTGCAGGTGTGAGTCATCATACCCTGCTGTTGCCTTGACTTTTTTTTTTTTGAGTTGGAGGCTCACTCAGTCGCCCAGACTGGAGTGCAGTGGCCGCTTCTGGCCACTGCAGCCTCTACCCGCTGGGCTCCAGCAACCCTTCCACCTTAGTCTTCCAAGTAGCTGGAACTACAGGCGCGCGCTACCATGCCCGGCTAATTTTTTGATTTATTGTAGAGATGAGGTCTCGCCAAGTTACCCAGGTGGGTCTCGAACCCGTGGGCTCAGGCAATCCACTCACCTCGGCCTCCCAAAGATTATAGGCTGAGCCACCGAGCCCGGCCTGCCTTGACTTTTATGTCAACATTTTTAAAGATTACGGGCCAATTATTTTATAAAGCATCTCTCAGTTGGGTTTGCCTAATGTTTCCTCATGACTGAATTCAGGTTATGGATTTTTGGCAAGAATGTTACAGAGATGATGCTGTGTTCTCACCCTATCCTATAAGTTGGCACATGCTTTCAATTTTTTGCCATTATTGATGATGTTCATTTCAATTACTTTATTAAGGTGGTGTTTGCCAGGCTTCTTCTCTGTGATGTTACTCTTTTTCCCATTTGCAATTAATAATTTTAATGTTATGGGGAGGTACTTTGAAACTATGTAAATATCCTATTCCAGTGCACTTATTTAGTTATTTATATCAATATAGGCTCCTGGTTTCTTATTTTATTCACTGAGTTTAAATTCACTATTAGCATTAATCTTATGCTCAAACTGTTGCTGATTTGGTCAGTTGCAGCCCCCACTCAAGGTGGATCTCCTTGACCTCATTGTTCTTTGATCACTTTTCTGACTTCTGGAACATACTTCCAAGGAGCCCTGGAGGCAATAAAATTCAGAAGCCAAGAGCTGTATACTAGATGAACTCATTGCTATTGGGGTATTGCTGCTCCCAGGGCTTCTCAGTGGGCAGAGTTGGGGAATGTATGTAAATATAATAATATATGTATTATACACACATTATATCAGTATTTAGTTCTATATCATATATAAAAATATTAAAAACATATAAAATATATAAAAATATGAAAAAAATGTATCTGTACAACCATGAGTTTATATTGGTCCATCCAAATTCATTACACCACCACAGGGTTCACCCTAATTTTCTCCCATTCCATATTTATAGCTTCTTCTTCTGACAGTGAGAATGCTGGCTTCTGTTTTCATTGATGTATTATATATTTGATCAGTTTCCCTGTATGAACTAATCCCCAGTCTCCAACCTCATCCTTTCCCCCTCGCAGATGCTTTTTCTCCCTCCATGGGCTTTTTCTCCCTCCATGGGCTCTCCCCATTCTTGGCTGCCTCTTCTGCATGGATCCCCTCCTCACTTGTGTGTGCTCTGACTCCGCATTATCAAACCGTTTACCTGCAGGAATGCCCTGCTCACTCCACGCAGTCTAACACCCCATTCCAGATTGTCCTTTCTCCAAACTGGTGGAAGGAACAAGGAAATACAGCCCACGTTCTGTTTATTCCTGGCACTGACTAGCTATGGGATTTTGGAAAAGTCAACCCAGACTAAGTTCCATCATCTTTCACTTGGACAACTGCCTGCTAACTGGTCTCCCCACAACTTCTCTGGCCTCTCTCCAATCTGATCACCACACAAAAATGTGATCCAATCACTCACCTAAATAAAGGCCAAATTTAAGCAACCGTTGAGGCCCTGCTTGTTCTAGCCCTTAGAGAATTGTCTCACCTCAATTCTATCACCTTGTCTCCAATTCTTTTCTGCCTCCCTTCCAGTTGGACCAGCCTTCTCTCAGTTTCACAGAAGCACAGTGATGCTTCCTTGTTCCAGAAGGCTTTTCTCTAGCTTACTCTTGCCACTTCTCCCCCACTCCCTCCACACACATATCTAATTAATGCCTAGTCATCCCTTCAGGTCTCAGTTTAAGGGTTACTACCCCTTGTCTAAGAGCATTTCCCAAGCCTCCAAACCAGGTCAGGCCTCTTTTTTCATACACTTACTTAGAAATCACTTTCTTTTTATCTGAGCTTACTCCATTAATAATTATACACTAATTGAAGGGATTAATTAACATCTCTCCCTTCCATTTTACTGTAAGCTCATGAAGAACTGGATCTGTGTTTATTCTTTTTCATCATGATGTCCTCATACCCAGCACAGTACTTAGCACAGAGTTGATACTCACAAACTAACCTCAGTACCCAGTGCCTAGTGAGCACTATGTAAGCATTTGTTGAATCTGAGTCCTCTCACAGGATTGTTTTGAGGACTCAGTGAGTTCATGTGCAATGAACATAAAAGTGCTTTGAAAGCTGTAAAGTACTGTATAAATGGAAGATTTCACTATATTTCCATACTCATTGATTTAAAACCTTGCCAACCTTTCTGAAAGCCTAAATAAATCACGTGCCTCGTACACAAGTTTCTTTCCTCCAGACTGGAGTGGATACATAACAGATAGTCAGTCTTCTTTTCTTTCTTTCTTTTTTTAAAATAAAACTTTGGCATTTTCGTCAACTAGAAATGGCATTTTTAGTAACACTTCAAGGAGGAGCCACCCTACTTACCTTCCCCCACTGTTGTCAGCACTTTGGAAGACTGGGTAATCCCAGGCACCAAGCCCTTCATGTGTAAGTAACGTGCTCTGGCCGATGGTGCCTCTGGAGCTCCATCAAATTCTTCCTTACCTCAAGGCTTGCACGTATACTGTTCCTTCTACCTGGAATGCTCTTTTCTCCCTCACACATGGCTGGCTTTTTTTCAGCCTTCAGGTGTCTGCTTAAGTGTCATCTTCTCAGAGAGGTGTTTCCTAATAATCCAAAGTAGGTTCCTTCTTGCTTTTTCTTGGTCACTGCGTTGTGTTCATTTCCTCCATGGCGCTTCATGTTTTGTTTGTTTACGGTATGCCTACCTCACTTGACTGTAAGCTCCTTGAGGTCAGGGATCGTGTCTCAGAGTGCACTGAGTGTGGAGCACAGTGATGGTGAATATATGGATGAATGATGAAGTAGCCTCCTCTGCAAATTCCTCCCCTGACAATTATTTATAACTATTGGCAGACTAAATCACATGTGTGAAGGGATGAGCACAGTGTAGGGCAAATAGCAGGCCCTTAATAAATGCTGATCCCTTTTCTTCCCCTGGGTGCCTCACAGCCACAACCTTTGACTCAGCTGTGACTGCCGTATTCCATGTTTCTACTTTCATCTTCTGGTCCTGCAAAATCTTCCCCCATAATGTCTCTCAGATCTGCCACTAACCCAACGTAAGCCTATGGCCTCACCATTCAAGACATGTGTCACTGGTCCTCAAGTGACTGTCCTTTCTCTATTCCATATACTATTAAAATCATCCCCACTTCCTTGGGCAACTTTTAAAAAAAATTTTAGAGTTGTGGGGTACAATTCAGGTTTAGGTATACAAACATTGATTATGCAGGTACCCTTGTTGATGAGGTGTGCCCCTCCCACCCCTGGCTGTTTCCCACTACTGCCAATCCCTTTCTTATAGTATTATGATAGTTGTTCAAGGTCCACATATGAGTGAGAACATATGGTACTCTGTTCTTTGTTTCTGTCATAGATCACCGAGTATGATCTCCCCTAAATCCATCCAAGTTGCTGCAAAGTCCATATGTTTGTCCTTCTTTATGGTTGCATAATATTTCATTGTGTATATGTACCACATTTTTAAAATTCAGTCCAGCTTCAATGGGCAACATGGTTGGTTCCATGTTTTTGCTGTTGTGAATAGAGCTGCAACAAACATACGTGTGCAGGTATCTTTTTTGTAGAATGATTTGAGTTCCTCTGGGTATATTCCCAATAGGAGAATTGCTGGGTCATATGGAAGGTCAATTTCTAGTTCTTTCAGAAATCATCACACTGTCTTCCAAAGAGATTGCACTAGTGTGCATTCCCACCAGTAGTGTAGAAGTGTTCCTACTTCTCCACATCTTCACCAGCATCTGTTGTTTGTTTTATTAACGATGGCCATTCTTACTGGGGTTAGGTGGTATCTCAGTGTGGTTTTGATTTGCATTTCTCTGATGATTAGTGAGTCTGAGCACTTTTTCATGTGTCTGTTGGCTGCCTTGGGCAACTTTATGTTTCCACTTTATCTGGACGCCCCTCCAGGTAGGCACTGTATAGAGGAGCAGGCCTGAACTTACCTACCCACTAGTCACAGTCTTAATTCAGACTAAGAATTAATAGGATAGTTGCAGCCTGTTCTCACCTTACTCTATCCTGCTCTGAATTTGCAGTTTCAGAGCTTATTCTCCCAAGTCTGCCTTTTCCTGTAGGACTGATACTTGTTCAGCTCGGCCTTGGGACCTTCATTCTTTGGCATTGCCTCCTTGAGAGAGAACTTGACAGTGAACATTTTAAATTTCCAATATTTATCAATGTCCCCTACCATTTTTTTCCCCGTCTAAACAATCTTATCTAAGAGTCATTTGCTTCTTCCAATTTGAGGGAACTTCAGTCTAACCTTCATGTTTTATAGACAAAGCCTAGGTGGAAGATGTGACTTGACATGTTCGCATCAGCTGGGACCAAGGACTAGGCCTCTTGCTTCTAGTCTAGTATTTTCACATTTTTGTTTGCACTTTGACCCTCACTCAAGCAAAGTTACCTGCTCCTTCTTGTGACTTCTTCCTCTTCATCTCTCTTTTTTAAATTTAGTGACGTAGAGTTATAAATGGAATGAAAGAATGCTTACATATGAACTAGACCTGAAAGAAAGGACAAAGAAGAGCCGAAGATTAACTTATGAGGGGTTCATGTCCTCATCTCGGCCCTTCCTTGGTGCCATTTCTGCTGCAGCTTCTATCACACACATACTCCATCCACAGAGCCTGCCTCCTACTCTGTAGCATGCTGTGGCAGTGGCTGTCTATTCAGTTCCAACAGCCTGGGTTGCAAGCAGGTAGGCAGACAGCTGTCACATATCTTTTATTTATTTATTTATTTATTTATTTTACTTTTTTTGAGCCAGAGTCTCACTCTGTCACCCAGGTTGGAGTGCAGTGGCATTCTCACAGCCACTGCAGCCTCAACCTGCTGGGCTCAGGCAATCCTTC